GGCATAAGGAGTTGGATGCTGAGCAGATCTGGATCAACCAACGTTGCAATTCAGGAAGGTGTGATAGTGAATCGTGGAAAGAAGTAAGCATTGCAAAGAATGTGCCATGCAAAGTAGAAGTGAAGGCACATTGCAAGACAGCATGACGCACCAGGTAAGGCGAGACGCCAAGTCGACGCAATACCTTGGGAGGGAATGTCTGTGCTCCACTGGGAGTGCAGTCATGAAAATGACATTCCCTCACACCGACACACCGTTGTTGATAAGACAGGAGGTGGAAGCAGAGATTGACAGGCGCAAACGATATGACACGGTCAGGGCGTGCGACACGTAAGAGGAGTTTGGGAGGCGAAAGTTGGTTAAATGCGCCCCTACGGAGGCATCCTGCAGTTGCATGGTAAGGAGAGTGGTGCAAGGTGAAGGCGAGGGTAGAAAGGGATCAACCACCATTCTACAGCTGTCGCATAGTGCTTGAATATTGAGGAAACAGTGATGCGGGCACACATTTCCCCACCCCTCCTCCTCCTCCTCCTCCATCCTTCTACAAAGTAAGTTCTCAAGCCACATTTTCATCGCCTTCCCATGCCAGTCTTTGGCATTGCGCACGTCCTCACATTGGTTGGCTGGATTTACCAACTTGTCCATTCTCAAAAGCAAAGCGTTAAGCTTATTTATTTAATACCCCATGTGCTCACAACAACAATTGTGAGTCGGTGCCCAGGGTGGGCGACAGCATGACCTCAACAGACACAGCATTTGCGCTGGTCCCCTCCTCTCATCCACTTCCACACTATCAACAACGCGAAGTGGTAATGCTTGATCTTCTCGAATACAGTTGAGGCGACTCGTTGCACCGATTAAACCACCCCTACTTCTGCTCCCAACCCTCATCGTCGCGCTGCATTTGCAAGCATCACAAATATCGTGCGAAACACACATACGTGAAATGGAGGACAGCATCATTTACTGCATTCTTCATTTTCAGGGGACGGTGTCGGTCAGAGCTGATAAACTCGAAATCGTCCAGTGAAACTCTACCCAACTGCCACAGGTAGTGCTGCCTCTCTCTTTCTCTCTCTTCCACCCTCCCATTCTTCTTCTTCTTCTCCTCCTCCTCCCTTACTTCCTCTCTTCTTTCCCTCATCCCTTACTCCTCAATCACACCCATGCTTCGTCACAGTGCATCATGGCCAGACAGCATCCACTTTTCCATTGTCCATCCCTTCACTGCACACTGACTACCATGGGAGGAATGCCTTTTCATCAATCCTGTGGCTCCTTTTTCTGCTGCATTGACATTCTCCCAGACACATTACCCAGTTGCGGAAGCATCTAGAACGACCGTTCTCCTCACACACCTTCAAGGTGCCGTCTTCATGCTCCTCACGACTTTCCAACATTT